AGAGAAAAATAACAAAGTATGCCATATTTGATTATCCCATATTCCCATTACTGTGTGCATGACCATTCTCCCTTGTTTGGGTAAAATTGGGGGCTATGGAGATTTACTGTAATGGCAAGAAGTGGGGGAAACATTTTTGCCAGTAAAATTTATGGGGGCCATTGGAAATTTATGGGGGCCATTGGAATTTTATGGGGGCCATTGGAATTTTATGGGAGCCATTGGAATTTTATGGGGGCCATTGGAATCATCGACCAGAGTGTTGAGGCGATTAAGAAAAGAATACCTGACTGTTAAATTAATGTAATCTAACTTTCTTGTCACACAAAGTTAGGTAACGTTGGCATTTTCACACTTTTCTATTATTATCGTACTATTCTGTTAAGTATTTATTGTATGAGTCAGAGAGACAGAGACCAATGGATTGGTATGAGGGCAGTTAATTTGTAATTTTTGCATGTATTCATTTATTAACTTTGACTAATGTATTAAAAATGGTCAGCCAGATATATAAGTATCTTACTGAGGGTACTGCCCAACTATTTTACATGTCAAAGGGAACTCCAGTTATGAAAGATTGAATATTTTCTGAGCAAGCTGGAACAGAATATTTTGAATTTAGTGATCTAAGTGAAGGATGGAGATAACCAAAAAATATATCAGGCATGAAGGAGGGTTTATATCCAAAAGCGAAAGATGGAGGAGTAATTAAATGAAGAAAACTAATTATACAAACAGACAGCCACGAATCTGCTGGAATTTAGGATATATAAACTGATAAATATTAAAATATATGAGAATATAATTTTATATATGCATCATAAAATCGTTTGCCTGAATATACTGCATTCTTTATAGCATTCAAAATCCATGTGACTTCAAAGCTTATAATTTCCATCAAAATAAAAACAAGCCTAAAATATGCTGCCTGTTGTTTTAAATATGAATTTTAAAACACTTGTTATACATTCATATTTTAAAAATCAAAGGCAAAATCATTTGTATTTGAAACTTTTATAGTTCGTGCATTGCAATGTTCAGGTTCAGCTTCCCCCCCCCGGGATAACATGACCTAAATAAGGCCAGGTTACAAAAATGTCCAATATTTTTGGACACACGTGACCAGTGTTTACCAGGGCCTTTGCTTCCCGTACCAGAGCCTCTGAGCCGCGCAAAGGCCCTGGGTACGAGGTTGGCTGGATATTGGGTCTCCCTAATTTAAATTGTCGTTCCCCAATTCGCTCATGTTGGAGTAGGCGAACCAATCAGATTGCAGATTTTTACTAATAAACATTTGCATAGCTGCATACTATATATATACTCATGCATTCGTACTCTAGCTACGATACATATTGGCTATCAAAACATTTGTAGCTAGCCATTTTACCAACAGTTATAAGTCTTGGCCGTAGCGCAAACAAAGGGGGAAAGGTCAAATTTCTAAATCTAAGGTAGGCAAGTTTTATTCGTGTTCTTGAGTTGACTATATATATAGTCTTCCGGCAGTTTTGTGATAAACTTATTTTAGATAAACACCACTGTTTAAGGCATTTAACAATGAAGTAATAGACAGATTGAGAAAAGATGATACCACAAAATTGACGACGTGTCTCAATTCTAGATCAAGAATTAATGCTATTAAACTAATTGATTATTTCAATAAATGCTTAATTCTTTTATAATAACCTTACAAACAGCTAAGTACCCGCGGGAAGTACAACGTTGTGTTTGCTATAAGAGAGAATTTGTGTAACACCTGTAACATCGCATGCAACAAGCTTTCACGTTGTGAGACAGAGACAGAGACCGAGCATTTTGAGAAGGCTTTGCTGTCTTAAACGCAGCAACCTGATCTGAATATTAATGAAATTACTTTATCATGATATTACAATATTTAGTTGACCACAAATTTGTTCCCATTTTTGTGAGCAACGGAAGCCAAGAGAACAAACAAAGACACAGTAATTATAAAAGATCGGCGGCACTTTTATTTAGGAAATCGAGTTAATTTTATCCTAAAATATTAAAATCTAATCCACAAGTGTTTCCTTTTTATGCGAGGACTTAATTCCAATGTTTTGCATCTGTACACCTTCCAAGTATTGTGTATACATATACATCTCAAATACTGCATGTGTATTTACAGATATTCGTGACATTCATAGCGCGGAGATTAGCACTCTGCAATATAATTATGCACTTGATACTACATAATTTATACACTGAATGGTAAACGTCATAGACATGCAGCTTAGTCAAGTATCGTGTATTTTTTATGGTGTTAGTGTGGAGTATATAAGCTAATGTTCCCCATTAAACTTTCCTCACTGACCTCACATATGGTGATCCTTAATTCCTCGTGCGTCGTATCCTAACATCCGCGCAGCTTTTTTGCATTTTTAGATGACAACACATGGATCGCAAACTATTCATACTTTTCGTCTTGTATGTAGAATTTCTTTATCAGGTCGTGTCGTGTTCTTTAAACATGTCTAATGTTAGTTATACAGACACTGGGTATTTTCGGGGAGATTTGCTTTCTCAAATGTTGCGCATGGTCCGAATATTAATGAAATTACTTTGTCATGATATTACAATACATAGAGTTCACCACAAATTTGTTCCAATTTTCGTGAGCAACGGAAACCAATAGAATAAACAAAGACAGATATAGAGTAATTATAAAACATCGGCGACACTTTTGTTCTGCTACAGGAAATAAAGTTAGTTTCATCCTAGCAAGAAAAATCTAATCAACAAGTGTTCCGTTTTTATGCGAGGACTTAATTCAATGTTTTTGCATCTGTACACCTTCCAATTAAATGTATATACATCCCAAATACTGCATGGATAATATTTACAAATACTCGTGACGTTCACGACACGGAGACTTGCACCTTGAAATATAATTATGCGCTTGATAATACATAATTATACTGAATGGTTAAGGTCATAATAATTTGTTTTTCGATCAAAGAATGCATTTTAATTTGCATTAGACTTGTAGCTATACATTTCAGCACACGTACGTCAATCTTCAAGTGCCTACAGTATTTCTACACTGCTATGGATAACATACCGAGACCTGCTGAAAGTCACGCAAATCCTGCTTCTGCGGGGGAGGGGGTGTTTTCAATAGAATTTTTATCTAAAATTCGTTAACTAAAATGCTGAATACATGGAGGCCCTAGACGAGAAAGAAATCTGTTCCTGCACTTATTAACCCTATGCTGCGTAAAATTCTCGTTTTAAGCAAAAGAAACCAAATATGAAATTAGGTATTTTGGCTAATCCAACAAAAAAGAAATTATCACATTGTATATCGACATTTTGGTCATTTAAATTAATTGCCCACTACGAATGTGTTAATATGTTTAAACAGGGAATACAATCACATTGTTGAATGTCTCGACCAAAACATAAGCATTGTATTAAATGCATGATTTAGACAAAACTTAGTGCATATAATGTGCTTCTCCTTTGTAATGATTTGAAGCTATTTGAATAAGATAGGTTTCGCTTAAGAAATGACCCCAATCTGTTCATTAGAGTTTGAGCAAGAAAACGAAATACGAGGACGAACGCATCTGCGCCTTGCCCTTTTTGCGCGTATGCGCATTGTGCTGCGCATACTGAGTTTAGGGTCAGCGGTGACATAATAATTCGTATTCTAATCCCGCTTGAGACAACGTATTTTTCGTTGTTCTCTGTAGTGCAAGAACTGGTTAGCAACATACCTGCATTTCCTAATTTCAATAGATACAGTATAATTCACAAAAAACTGGGGTCTTTCTTTGCAAGATAAGCACTCGCGAATAACTTTTTCGGCTTTTGTTAATTTAAGCGACACAATAAATCTTGTACGCGCATGATGTGTCAGTTAAATAACGTCTGAATATACGAGTATAAAGAATAGAAATGACAACTTTATGGAATTAGGGCCGGAACTACTTGGGGGGGGGGGTGTACCACCCACCTCCCAAAGAAAAATCAAGGAAGGGAGCCTAATTTCCCTAGAAGTGGCACGCCGCCCCGAAATGCTGGAATTGCGGAATGTGTCAAATACTACGGAATACTGTGAAAAATTAAGGTCGATAAAGCTCTAAAAACATATTTTTGACCCTCCTCCCATTGTCAAAGAGGGGGTTTGAAAAAAAAGTTTGATCAAGAAAACAATAATTCAATGGCACATTATAAGAATATTTTACAGTAAATATATCTGAACCCGAGGCAGAACAGAAACGTACGCGCGAAAGGAGTTATAGGGGTTTGCTTGGTATCTGATCGAGCCTCCTCCCCTGAGTTTAACGCAAAAGTTAGTATTCTAAATCAATACCTAACAGTAATATTTAATGGAATGCATAATGTTTTTTGTTGGAGCCATAAGGGCTTCACTCGCTCATCTATCTCACCGTTTTTACCCGATGGCGTACATTTTACGCGCAGAGCTCAATATCGTTTGTACCGTAGCTACCGGGGTGCAATACTCAAGGCCATACAGCTACTTTAAACCAGAGGGGTTTATCTCCTCTATATGTTAAATAATTGGAGGCTTCGCCCTCGAATTTAATCTTGTACATTTATATAGAATGGAGGCTTCGCCCTTCATGTCATTATGTTATTACCAATCACACTTCGCTGTGATTTTATCTGAGGCTTCGCTCTCAGTCCATATGTTGTCACCAATCGCACTTCGCTGCGATTTTAGTTGAGGCTTCGCCCTCACTGTATCTATATGTGTTATTATTTATGACCAATTTGTCATATATCTTTTGTTTTAAGTACAAATTTTGGGCTCAGTGGTGCGGTCACCTTCGTGTGGCCAGGCTTGAGCCAACCAATTTTATTTTACGATTTATTGATTCTCATGCGCATACCTATGCGACTAAATCTTTAGCATGGCTGTGTTCTAATAGTTTTTAAAGTCATGTCTTTCAGTTCATCATGCCGTCCAACCACAATACACGTTCGAAACGCACAGCCACAACTTCTGTGCCCAATCAACCGCCTTCTCGGCGCCCTCGGAGGAGTCGTTCGTCAGCATCAGCCACCGCCGCTACAGCGCTCGTCACCAACAGCCCCAGTAGTGCTGCCTCGACAACCACACTACCTGCAGTGGCTCCCGTCAATTTCGCTACAACATCAACGGGACCAAGTTCAGCCATTTCGCCTGCGATACTCGAGCAAATTGTGTCGACCGTAACAGCAGAAGTAACTCGACGCCTAACACCACTCTCGCAACCAGAGCTATCCGGTGAGGTTATTGAAGCTCCAGTGGTCACTCCTGCCGCAACTTCAACGGTTTCACAACTGCCTGGTTCTGCTGTCGTCGAGCAAGCTTTACATTCTGCCCATTCAGCCATTACAGGTGAGACATTCTCTGCTATGCCCTCATTTCCTGGTCAACCGTACCATTCGGTAACCTTACCTCTTGACTCTCGAGTTTCCAAGAAATTGAAGAACAAGATTTGGGATGAAAATTTTATAGATTTTGGTCCAGTGATGGATAATACGTTTCAACTTAGCGTCACGCCTTCTAGTGATGGTCTCGCTTCATCACTTTCACTTGATCCGGTCACTAAACCACAAAAGGTGGCTAGTATTTCGATGTGGATGAGCGCATTTCGCATTTTTGTCGGGGTTTATACCCAAAAATATCCTCATGAATCACCTGCGTTGATGAAGTATGGCGATATTGTGCAGGACCTGGCGGATCGAGGCCACAAATGCCCACAATTGGCGTTTTTTATGACGAAAACTTTCGTTTTTTTCCGACAAACAGAACGCAGCGCGCTGTCTTGGGGTAACGTGCACTGGGAATTGTGGCTTAGGTCTCAATACTCTCCCAATAAACCAGCCGGCCAAATGCAGCGCGCTGGGGTTTCTGCTAAAAAACTGCCATTTCTAAACGTACCAGGCGGTCATTGTTTCAAATTTCACAAAGGTGACGAATGTTCCGGCTGCGAATTTAAACATAGCTACTTTAAATGTGGAGGCCCGCACCCCGCATTGCGATGTAATTTTTGTGGCTTTTCAAAGAAGGAGCAATTTCGAACTACCAGGTCGAACCAGCACAATATCGCTTCCAACGCCAATAAAACTAAATCATCTTAGATATTTTTACAAGGTTATACTTTACAGGATACTGCAACACTTATTTCAGGTTTTACTACCGGTTTTTCTTTACATTTTCACGGTACTATAAGTCTTAACGAAGGCAAGAACTTGCCTTCTGCGTTAAATAATCAAAGTGCAGTTTGATCAAAAATTATCTAAGGAATTAGCTGCTGTTACACTGGCCGGACCTTTTATTGCGGCGCCATTTCATCCCTTTCGAGTTTCTCCCCTTGGTCTTGTACCGAAAAAGTCTCCTGGCGAGTTTCGTCTGATTCACCATTTATCTTCTCCTCGCGGATCGTCAGTCAATGATGGCATGACACCTGACAATACGAGTGTCCATTACGTCACAGTGGCTGATGCTATTCGTTTAATAAAGGCTGCTGGGAAAGGTTGTTTTCTTGCGAAAACAGACATTAAAAATGCGTTTCGTATTATTCCAATTCGCCCAGAAGACCATTGTTTATTCGGAATGAAATGGCGCGGCAAGTATTATTATGACCGTTGCCTCCGCAGCGAGTTCATGTAAAACTTTTGAAACTTTTAGTACTGCCATTCAATGGATTGCTCAACAAAAACTTAGTATACAAGCTATTCTACATTTGCTTGATGACTTTTTGCTAGTAGTTGCGTCCTATGATTCCTGCTTGACTCAGTTGCATCGATTTATCAATTTTTGCGCTTTTATTGGGTTACCTATGGCCCCGGAAAAGACATGCAGTCCGTCAACGACGTTGTCTTTTGCGGGTATTGAGTTAGATACCATAAAACTTGAGGCGCGTCTACCTTTAGATAAATTACGCAAATGTACTGATTTTATCACCGCATTTCGACAGCGTAAGAAAATCACATTAAGAGAATTGCAATCTTTAATGGACCAATTGCGGAATTGCTAAGCATCATGGTAGTTAGTTACACAGCAGAATTTTTCAACATGGCGCTTACACTTTTCGAACGATGAAAGGTGCTAAACACATGAGAATTGCAAGAAAATTTTTATCATTTTCGCTTTGATTAAAGTTTTGACGAAATCTGTACGACTTGTTTCATATTTCTACTTCGTCTTGGACTTCTACAAGCGAGTGTGGTTGAAATATTTAACATGGCGTACAAAGTCACTGAAGCGGGGAAGGAGTTCGATTCGTAGTAGTCAGGAACGAATTTTTGAATATTTCACAACATGAAGGTGAGTACTGCATTAAACTATTTTTGAAAGAACGAACACGTTGTAAACTATTATTTGCCTAAAAATTTTAATGATCGGCTTAATTCTAGCGACTCGAGAGACAAAAATGTTTGCACACTTGACTGTCCCAATTGCAAAACAACAGATGTTTGATCAAACGTTCGTTTCACAACCACAAAACATTGAGGTTGTTTGACCCGAAAAATCAAAACAGTTACTGTTTGAAATACCGAGATTTCACATTTCAAAGGTTTTCAAAGATTTATAAAGTACTTTTAAGAACTATTCACTGCTGTTCAAGTGTCTTGTTGGAGTTTTTAACTACAACGTACATATTTACGCGAGTAAAATTTAAAGCAACCTCGCTTGTTTCGAGTATATTTTGGAAAGTTTCGAGCCGTTTGGTTTGCTGTTGGTTTTGATAAATATGGCAAGTAACACGAAAAAAGTGCCTAAAGGTAAAATGTACAGGGGAACGACCTGTTGTGTGCCACTTTGTCGAAGCGACAGCGTTAAAAATTCGGAATTATCCGCCCTTCCATAAATTTCCTGTGAGAAATATGGCTGAATTTTATATTGAGAATACAAAGTGAACTTTTTATAAAAAAGCCACAAAGTGTGTTCCTTACACTGAGAAATCTTTTAGTGCATTGCCAACTGTCGTTAAATATCATGTAAACAAACTGTAAACAGTAGCCAAGGCAGGGAACATATATTATTATAGACAGCTACTGTAGTGAGACTGAACAACCCAGTCTGAACAACAAACGACTGGCATTGATACACAAGAGTCAACCAATGAAAGATTAAAAACTGAACATGTAGCTTTACAAAGAAAATATTATGAGTTATCATCTAGCTAAATACGAACAGTGTGTATTGCGAATAGAACATGTATTTGCCAGTGACACAAATTTTAAATTCTATACAGGATTTCAAAATTATGCAACATTTAAATTTTCTTTGACTTTCTGCAACCACCATGTAATTTCTTAACTTATGCTGGTTCGAATAACAATGTAGAATACTTGGCAGAAAAAAAAGCTGCGGCAAAAAAGATCAATGTCGCCTACTTACGTCGTGGTCTTATACGGGAACCTTGACATATTGCTCTCTGAATTGGCATGTTTCTCGTATGTGGGCTACTTGGTCAGAGTTTCTCTATCTTTACCATCTGGGCATCACAAGATTATATACAACAAGCTATGCCACAGCCTTTCAAAAAAACCTACCCAAATACCTGTGTAATTATTGATTTTACAGGCTGAACAACAAATTGAAATGCCAACATCATTTAGAAGTCAGTCTGCATTTTTGAAAATGGGCACTTCACCTCACCTATCCCAAATGTTTTTGGCTCTGCATAATTATATAACAAGTAGTCTGGTTTCACCAAAACATGGAGCTTCTGTGTTCTGAACACATCCAGTCATTACACATGCGGTCATTATCAGTTCATCCTGAATTATTTTGCTCTAAATGTTTTTCAATGGCAATCTGCTGATTACTGTTGCCCACTTGACATGCTTTACATTGCTTGCTGGCAAAAGGATTTTGCAAAGAAGTGATGTGAGGAAAACATTTTCTCTTCGTTTCATTGCCGTACTGAAATGTGAGGTAGTTACAGTGGACGACCTCGTTGTTCATGAAACCAAAATTTGCTCTGTGACTGACCTCTTGTATTGCATTCAATGTCAACCATTTGTTCTTTGGGTGTAAAAGGAGTGTTTCGAGTATCTGGTCTATATACTCCGGAGAAGGCAAATGTTTGCACACTCCTGCTAGGAACAGTATCAGTTGTTCCAGTATAGATATTCGAATTTTGTATTGCACATTTGATTTGCAAATACAGTAGGTTTGCATTATTGAATGCCTTTTTTGAAGGCAATTCCTCAACAAATTCTTGATATTAGAAAGGTTCACAATTGTTGGATACTAAAAGGCCCTGCAAATAATCACAAGTGCCAACAGTCAAACCGGTCTTAACGTTTTCTTAAGTCTTCAACATTTACATGTTTACATGTTTACATGTTTAGCAAAAGCAGGTGCTGGGTTGTTGTAGTTTGCTGTGCAATGTTTTTTCTGTCTTGAAAGTTGCCTTGCTTATTTTTACTTGGTCGAAAAGCACTGCAGTATCAAGTTTCTCATTAGTTAGTTCAGTGACTGTCAGACTGTGTACATTTTAAATCATGTGCGACTTCAGTTTAATAATTGAAGTTGGATATTGAGTCCAAAATTTGAAATAGCAGGGCAGCTACATGTTTACAGCAACGGAACCACCTGTACAAGTGCAACTTGGACAAGATATTTAACCAGTGTCTTAGGCCTAAAGTAGGTGAACATAGATTCCATAATATGCCTTTTTCATGGAGGCATGCACAACACTTTTAATTAATTAAACAGGAAAGATGTTTCTGTGCCTTTCAAAACATTAATAGCCTTAACTACAAGTCTACAACCTGGGTAACCATTTTATCTTTGATCAGTTGATTTACTGAGTAGTCAGTTATCAAATGTTCCTTCAATAATGCATGCATGGGTGTTAAAATACCACTGAGGTTTCTTGTCCACTGTATTCCTTACTCCATATTTACAAACAGCAAACCAAACGGCTCGAAACTTTCCAAAATATACTCGAAACAAGCGAGGTTGCTTTAAATTTTACTCGCGTAAATATGTTGTAGTTAAAAACTCCAATAAGACACTTGAACAGCAATGAATAGTACTTAAAAGTACTTTATAAATCTTTGAAAACCTTTGAAATGTGAAATCTCGGTATTTCAAACAGTAACTGTTTTGATTTTTCGCGTCAAACAACCTCAATGTTTTGTGGTTGTCAAACGTTTGATCAAACATCTGTTGTTTTGGGACGGTCAAGTGTGCAAACATTTTTGTCTCTCGAGTCGCTAGAATTAAACCGATCATTAAAATTTTTAGGCAAATAATAGTTTACAACGTGTTCTAGCCTGCGAACAGGCCCTGGGTT